TTGCTAATGCTGAGCTTGAACGAGAAAGGGACTGGGGAAATGTTACCTGCTTTGGTGGGCTGCCCCTCAGCATCGGGTGGTGGCGGCTCCCCAGGGCACTGATGCATGGGCACTTGGCTGGAGGAAAAATGGGAGTGTGCCTCAACTGGCAGTATCTAATTTAAAGAGGAGTTCACGGATTCACAGTTTGCTTCCCGCAAGAGAGAGAAACTTGGGCTAGGTCTGTTCTACTTCTTTTAATGGCATCGCTACAGAGACACCTATGGTTACCTCCTCCTCCTAAATCCATGCCCATCTGCGGGATCCCACTGGGTGCTGTTGAGATGTGCAGTGGGGACCCGGCGTGTTGCAGGGCTGGGGCTGAGCCCATGCAGTGTCATCACTGACTTAAATGAAATTCACCAAAGGTGATTTAACTTCTATCGATTTACCAACAAACCAGTTATTTCAGAAATGAGTGGCTGCTGCTGTTGGTCATTTCTGGATGACCATTTGGCTCTGCATCACACGGCTTAATGATTGCATACTTTGTGCTGGTTAAATAGTTGCTCAACGAGGAAACAGGAGAAAACCACACTGGGATAATCTAAGAAAAACAAGGATTATAAAAATGGCTCTGAGGCGCTGACTGCTGGAAGCGAAACTTATTTTGTGGGTTTGTTGCTGCACCTTTGCTTCAAAAAAAATTGGAGCAGTTGTTGCACTTGTTTTCTCAGCAGATGGGCTACTCCATTGCAGGCACGTTTGCCAGTATGGAAAGTAATTGTGTCGCTTGGCCCTGCTGATTTGTACTGCTATACATGTGTGCTTAACTACTACTGCCTTTGGAAGAAGACTTGGGAGATGAGTTCCCCTTTAAAACCAAAGAATAAAAAGAGAACCAAGCCCATGACACACCAGAGGAACGTTTAAGAGAAGAAAAAATGCCGTTTCCCTTCACAACGTTTCAAAAACTGTTGTAAGGTGACCTTGAAATTCAGGGTTTTGGTGCCAGTCCAAGAAGAAATTTAAGATAATAATGTTTAAAATCTTGTGGTTTCATCTCTACAATCCTTTTTATAGAATTAGTGGCTGTGGGGGATTCTCCTTGCATAGGTCAAGAAATTATCTGTTAAGGCTTTAGTTAATTATCCTCTAGTTTTAATATCAGTGCGATCCATGGTGTGGGCATTTGTGAGCTGCCAGTGAGGGCTGTGCGGAGTTCTGCTGGAGTGAAGAGCACTGACGGATGTTCCAGAATGGTAAAAACTCATGGAACAGGGAGAGGAACCTCTCTGCTCCCCATTGGGGAGCACTCAGTTGTCCCCAGAACAGCTTTGCTCTTGGAACTCTGGTGTCAGCCTATCCACTGAAACCTGGGTGCCTTACACTGATGAAGCGACACCTACAGGGGCTTGTTGCAGTAGTTTTTGCTAAACCTTAAACAGGAACTGAAAAGGCCTCTCCTTCGAGTAGCCATGCTCCTTCTGCCCCTTGTTGCACACCGTGCCTCTGTGCTGCATTGCCAACCCTGCAAACCGTGCGAGCTGCTCAGCTGAGCTGTGTGTGACCGGGGTCACTGCGTCACTGACTGCAGCGCTGATGGGCCGGGTGGCAGTGGTGGGCCTGGCTGGATTGATTGACACCAGGGTTGGTACTGGGGCCTGTCTTGTTTAACATCCTTCTTGATGATCTCGGTGAGAGAATTGAGTAATCTTCAGTAAGTTCGCAGGTGGCACCGCACTGGGGAAAAGTGTTGATCTGCCTGAGGGGCCTGCAAAGAGGTCTGGACAGGCTGATCAATGGGCCGAAACCAACAGGATGAGCTTCAACAAGACTGAGAGCCAAGTGCTGCACTTTAGTCACAGCAGCCCCATGCAGCACTACAGGACTGGGGCATGAGAAGGGTGCTGGCACTACCAACATCCACCCCATGGAGCCCCATCCACTGGGTGCCCCAGAGGTGCCCATAGCCAGGCAGTGACAGCAGGTGGAGGTGGCACCAGGTCGGGGCGAAGCCTGGCACCATGCAAGCGTTGCCCACAGCAGACAAACTCACTGCTGTTTTCTGTTGCTTATCATCTGCCATAGGCAACGATGTGACCCACAAATGTGCTTTGGGTGCTCCGTGGTTCACCCCACCCTGTGATGGCACCTCCCTGCCATCCCTGCCATCACCTTCTTCCCTGTCACCAACCAGGGGATCAGGCTCAGCCAGCATGGCTCACGAAGTGCAGGGGCAGAGCGGCTGGCAAGCTGCACGGAGGAAAAGGCTCTGTGGGTGTGAGCTGACAGCCGGCAGCAGATGAGCAGCAGTGTGCCCAGGTGGCCAAGAAGGCCCACGGCAGCCTGCCTTGGGTCAGCTGCAGTGCAGCCAGCAGGAGCAGGAGGGCATCGTCCCTCTGCACGGCAGTGGTGGGGCCGCAGCTCAGTGCTGTGCTCGGTGCTGGGCCCTCACTGCACTGCAGACACGGAGGCCCTGCAGCGTGTCCAGAGATGGGATGGAGCTGTGAGGGGTCTGGAGCACAGGTGTGATGGGGAGCGGCTGAGGGAGCTGGGATGGGTCAGCGTGGGGAAGGGGAGCTCAGGGGAGATGGCAGTGCTGTGCTGCTGCTGACAGGAGGCTGTGTGAGGCGGGGTCAGCCTCTGCTCCCAGGTAACAGCGATGGGACGAGATGATGCCCTCACACTGAGGCAGGGGAGGTTCAGACTGGACATCAGGAAAATTTTCTTCTCCAGAAGGGTGTTTGGGCATTGGCACAAGCTGCCCAAGGAGTGGTGGAGTCATCATTCCTGAAGGTGTTCAAGCAGAGGGTGGATGTGACCCTGACAGACATGATCTTAGAGCTCTTTTCCAACCTTAAAGGTTCTGTGATTCTGTAATTCTGTGATTGCTGGACGAAGTGGCACCGATCGACCCGGTGAGGGCGGTGGGCCTGGTGGCAGTGGCAGCCGCGCTGTGGAGGCTGTGAGCTGGCTGTGCGGAGCCGAGGCACTGAGCAGCAGCAGGGCTGGCTGTCGCTGGTGCAGCCCAGTGTGCTGCGGTAAATGATGACAACGACGCTTCGTTCATTGCCCAGGGAGTGTAGGCCGTGACTGACAGCCATTTTGCTCGTCATTAATAGCTCCGCTTAATCGCAAAACAAGACTTTTCCTGTGGTGTATCTGTGAAACAATGCAAAACAAAACAGCTTCAGTATCTCTGCAGCACCACCCCCTCCCAAGTAAACCAAAAAAAATCCCAATTCCTCCTCTCCTCTGACGAACAATGACTCATTCAGTGTTTGGGGTTTTTTTCTTCGTTACTGTTTTCTTTGTAATTACTATTATTTTTATATTTTGGCTTTTGCTTCCTTCAGTGGCCGCCTCGCAGCAGAGCTGGCAGCGGAGCCAGCGGTGCAGATTGCCTCACCCTTATGAGCCCCCGTTTTCAGCTGTTTATAACTCTGCCAAACTTTGAGTGTTTGGGCTGCGATGTTCTCAGCCAGGTGTCTGCCTGAGGGAGGGAACGCGTTCGGAGAAGTTGCAGCAGAGCTGCTTCTGCCCACCCTGATTAATGAGGTTCAGAGGAAAATGGGTTTGCCCACAGTGAACTGAAAAAAACCTCTCTCTGAGGAGGGAAAGCACGCTGTGCCAGAGCTGGGCATTTCTAGGAGTTCTTGTGCTGATATTTAGGGCTTCTTGTGGGTTTTATTTGTGGCCTTCTGTCCTTCATCGCTGCTCATTGCAGTTAAGGGCTAGCAGCATCTCCATCCACTCTGCTTCTCTATGGAAAGAGGCTGAAAACACTCAACACTCAGTGGAAAACTTGGAAAACTTTTTGTATTTGATGTAACACTGTGGAAAAACACCGTGATGTGGCTGAATTATTAACCTCAGAAAGCACTCAGACTGCAAACCCTTGGCAGAGAGAAAACAGCAGTCAGAGGGGCTGAGTGGGAGAAGCATCCCTCCTGTGTCCTGCCCTCACCTGGGGATGGAGAAAAGCACCAACAGTATGGGAGAGAAGGAGAAATAAGGAAACTAAGAAGCAAAACATTTCTTTATTGTCCTAAAAATTCCAATTTTAAACTCAAAAAGTCAAGCTGGACTAACATTGCTAAATCAGTGACCTGGTGATCCAGCAGTGGTCCCTACCGTGTTCATTCAGCTGCTAGAAATGTTCTTTTTCTGCCTTTAATTATTTTCTGATAGAGACTTGAGCACTGATGTGTTGGTCCTGCAGTGGGAGCTCCAGGCTGGCAGCTCGTAGCACAGGGTGCATTCAGCCAGAGTTTTGGTGTTTTCTGACTTTGGATTTTGCAACTGTGTCATTCTTTTTGATGTGGTTTTAGTGCAATAGGGCTGTGGAGGTTTACAGCGTGGTGGTGTAGGGGTGGAGATTTTTGGTGCGTTGCTGATGCCACTTGATCCTGCGCTGCAGTGGCTGTGGTTTCTCATCCTCTGCCATCCTGGCATTTGTGAGCTGTTGTTGCGTCCCTTTATTCCCTCTCTCATGCTCTTTCTTTCTGCTAATTTCAAAATTCTTTCTCATTTTTCTTTTCAGCCTAATGTCTGAATTCTGGTGCTTCATTAATCCGTTCAGTTTTGTTAAGTTCAAGTTGTTTGAAATCCACTTATATCTGGATAGGAAGCAATTATTCTGTTATCAAATGATCCAAGGTGGCTTCTCTCCTTCTCTCTTCTCTCCTTGATTCGTGCTTGGTAATGACAAACTTGTAACAGTGCACCTTTCCACTGCTCCTGAGGAGGCCCTGAAAGACAGGAATTCTGTGGTTTTTGATGAGTCCAGTCATTCATCCGTCCCTCCTGCAACCGCATCCAAGGCAGTCACTTGTCAGAACTCCAGCCACGATCTGTTTGTGGGGGCCATGAAAGGCTGTATGGAAACAAATGCAGAATGATCACATTTTCTTAAAGATTTGGTAATTTTATTTAAATAAGCTCTTAAGGAAGACAGCGCAGGCTGTTGGAGGGCTCTTGCAGCAGTCGTTTTGGGTGGGAAGCATCTCTTCGGCAATTACCATTTTGTTTCTCTTTCTGGCTGAACTTGAAGGTAGTGGCTCTCAGTTCTGCTCACTACATGTTTCTGAGCAAACACCATGGAGGAAGGTTTGATCAATCTCTGTAGGAGTAGAATAGTGCGTGTCTTTATTGGATTTTTAAGAACGTTTTCACTTGCGGCACAGGGAAGCACTGAGGTTGATTCTTGGTCTGACAAACCCTGGTGTTGGAGAAGCTGTAGTTATTGCGGGAGCCCAGCAGAAGCCCAGTGTCTCTGAGACAGTAGAGATGTAATACTGGCTGCAGGAGCTCTCCTTGGGAAGGGAGAATGGGTGAAGAAGCCATTCAGGGCCACGAATGGAAAATCCCGTTTCTGCCTAATCCTGAGAGGTCCCTCTGCTCTGTGCAGCAGTGTGATACACTTAGATGCTCCAGGGATGTGGTGGGACCATGAAATGTATGGCTGGGTCTCCGGACCTCCAAAAGCATTGCACTCCTTTCTGCTCATCAGCAGGCTTCATGCTGTGCTTTTTTTGGTCTGGCATAAAAGCAGTTAAACAAGGTGGTGTAAACACAGAAAGCTTTGCAGATTTACTTAAGGGTTTCTAAATAAATACAAAAGACTGCCTACCTTTGAGCGTGTGGGGGAGAGGAGGGGCTGGCTTGTAGGGCAAGCATCCTTCTGCGTTTGCATGTTGACACTGCTGCCATTTTTTAAACAGCAATTATCAGACTAAGGGCTCAGGGCTTGCTTCATGCTCCCCTGCCCTGCTTGGGCTCTTCTGACTGTGGTGGCAAGAGGTACCTCAGCTGGACTGCTTCTTGTACGTCGTGCATGTACCAGATAGCAGCCCCTATCCTGAGCCTAAGTGTGTCATTCCAATAATAGCGTCAAGTTTTCAAACTGGAGGGATACTTTTTTTTTTTGGTGGTGGTTAATGATTAATTAGGTCAAACCCTCCCAAATTAGACTGCTGGAGAAGGAATAGGCCGACCGATTGCATTTGTAGCAAAACCTTGCAGTAGAAACAGATGTGGGCTGATGCCAGCTCCCCTGCCAACACACTCTGTCCCATGCCCCAAACCCGCCAGTCCCCAGAAGAGGTTCATTTTTAAAATTGCATCCATTAATATCCCAATTTCCTTTCTCCCCCCCTTTCCAAATCTTGCGTTAAACCCCTGTAGATTCTGCTTTAAGTAGGCAATTAAGCTAACAACATAATTATATCCCTTAATGCTCATTTTAACCGGTTTTAGAGAAGAAACAAAAGGGGAAAGCAGCCTCAAATATATGGAAATAAAAGCTCCGTTGTAAGGGTATTTTTGATAGTCGTGATGATTTGTGTGAGGTGCTGAGTTTGCCCACGAGTGGCTCCAGGGAAGGCAGGAGGTCGTGGTTAAGAGCCTTTCAGGCAGTGCAGGACTGCACTTTCTGAGTGTCCTTTTTCTGAACCCTCATCCGACTGCAGATTTAGGGGGATCCCATGAGGCTTCTGAGTGTGTCCACTTCGTGCTGGAGTACAGTGGCTGCATAGCTGCGGTACGAGAGCTTTCTCGTTTTTTATTACCTAGGCAATTAGTCACAGGAGACCAATACAGTGAGTCCGCAAGCTGCCGCCTTGCCATATGTGTGAGCAGAAAATAGAGCGCTGCAAAATAACATTGATGGAGAATTATTGTAGTGAATCCGTGCCAATTTAGTGGAGCTGCTTTGCTCCCTGTGCAGAGGCAGATCTGGAGGGGAACGGCTGCGTAGTGCCCTCGTGGTAGCAGGCAGAATAACTTTGTGGTTTTCTACAGAGTATGCAACATCCACACAGATCTGTTTGCGAGGCACAAAGCTGTGTGAGGACCCTCCAAGCCTACAGCCAGAAAGCCGTTTTGGCATCTCAGATTTTGTTGAAGAATCCAGATGCTTGGTTGGTGCCGCCTTTCTGGGGTTAACTGGTGGCCCTGGAACATTGGTAGTGCAGTACGGACACAGGAACTGCAGATGCTGCTCTCATTTACAGAAATACGCCTTCATTTTCACTCTCCTTTACCCACTCTACTTCCAGCGAGGAAGTGGAGATGTCGTTCAGGTGCTGTGGGTCCTGGGACCAGTGAGGGTCCTCTCTCACTGTGCAAGGGCAGTGATCTTGTTCTAGGGGGAGGACCAGCTTCTCCACATTTTCTTGATCATTCAGGTGGAATTAAAATAAATGTTTACTTTTCTTAAGAAAAAGAGCTATGAGGAGTAAGGTAATGCTGAAGCAGCTGTAATGCTTGGCAGAGTCACCTGCATGCCAGCTTGTGCTGCTTTGAGTATCTGCTCCTTTTGGCTGTCACCTATGAGCACCTTGGTTTCTGGGTGCAGGGAGCTTGTATGGGGAAATATTTACGCAACTGCTTCCTTAAGAGCATTGGGGACACCCGCAGGATGCTTTCTCACATGCTCAGCAGTCAATGCAGGAGGTGTTGTGAGGGTCGGAAGGACCTGCCTGCAGGTAATGCAGGCTGTGTGCATCACTGCCCACAAAAGTGCAGTGAGCATCTCTTGGAGGCATGGCTTGATGAACTGCAGCTTCTGGTAATGCAAAGAATGTGGCTTATTGTTTAATTTTCTTTATTTCATTGGTAAGTAGCCATTATTTAGTAAGATGTTTCTGTTTTTTTGCTAAGTGGCCTGGTACTCCAGAGTAGGAATATGTTTTCCGCCTCATCCCTAATTGGGCCAAACTAGTCCATCACTGGTTGAGTTGGAGTAAAAGGAAGCCATGAACAAGATGTAGTGAGATGATGTTTTTTAGCACAGGTTTTTGGGGGCTACAGTTGGAAAAGGAGCAGGATGATTTTCCCTGTTCATGGAGAATACGATGCAGCAGCTCACTGCCAAGCGTCTGCAGGCCCAGAGCAGATCTGTGACCTGGTGCAGCTTCAGCAAACATCCGTAGCCCTGTGCTTGGGTGCCTGCTCACACACTTAGAGATCCGGAGCAGTGAGTGAGGACCTGTGGCATTTGTGAAGGGCTGGAGATGCCCCACTGAAATTGCCAGTGTGATGAAGCAAGGAATGGCTGCAGCGAAGGTGTGTCCTGGCCTCAGTTTGGTGTTTTGGGAGGATTGTAAGGTTCTCTGCAAGGCTCTCTTGCTCTTGTTTGGGGATGTGCTTCTCTTCTGTCCCCATCTCTCTCTGCTCAGCCTTCTCCTGGACTCAGGAGCACACCGTGTCCTTGGAATGCAGGACAGTGTGGATGCAGAGTGAATCAAAGTCGAGGTCTGCTCGGCCAGGATGCGGTTTGGGGATGCAGAGACAGCCCCTGGTGTTCACTGGACTTTCACACAGGTGCTCCGAGTTACTGCGTCTTTTCTTACTTTTAATCCCACACCTGGAAACTTACGTGCAGAAAATAATTCTTGGACTTAAATTTTCCGTGTCTTCAGTAGGGTGATTGTTTGGAGATGATGTGCCGTAAGACACTCCCAGAACTTTGAGTGTGCCATGTTCCTTGTCTGCCCAGGGTAAGTAGCTGTCTGTGGGACTGCCGCAGTGCAGGTGGGATCCCTTTCTGGGGAAGTTGCCAAAGCTGGGGTATGTGAGCTTTTCCCAGCCCAGCATCTTCTGCAGTTGGTGGCTGTGGGAGGCTGCAGCAGTTGGGGAATTTCTGGGGACGTCTCTGAAGGGGGCAGCAGCTCTTGGCCTGTTTCTTTTTCATGCAGAGGACCACGGTTCTGTTATTGTGGGTTCGTGGCTTTTTTTTGCAAAGGTCAGTCCTGAGATGGGTTTTGTCAGAGCATTTGTACTTCTTCACGTCACAGCTGTGGTTTTCCAGCACTGCTCTGACAAAACCTTGCTGGTGGCAGAGCTGTGCAATTAATAGATTTTTGGTTTCCTTCAAGCACCAACAAATTGAAAAATTCCTTTTTGGGTTGAGCTGAAGGAAAAATGTATTGATTTTAATACATATATTTTTGAAAAATAGAAGAACAACATTTTGGGTTACGTAGTGCTGGGTTGCACAGAACTTGGGGCTCGTTTCCTTTAGGTTTTTTTTGAACATTCTGTAGAGTTCTTGCTTTAAGAAGTAAGCAGGGTAGGTATTTTGCCTGTGTAAATCAGAAAATTTTACATGCCAATCTGTGGTCACTTCCACTTTTTGAAATTGAGTGTGATACTCCATTTATGAATAGTTCAGCAGAAGTGCCATGAATCCATGCAGTGGGCAGTCTTGCTATGGCTGCACTTCTGGCTGAACGTAATTTCCCTGCCGCTCTCTGCCCTCCTTTATTTCAGCTCCGTGAACTACAGAGAACAGAAGGTTGTCTGGGTCCATGCAGTTTGCCTTGAGAGAAAATGTCTGTAGCCCAACTGGTGGCTTAAAAATGTCACTGTGGGACTCAGAGAAGCAGAGGTTGGTGGCACAGAGTGCGCCCACTCGTTCCAGACTAAACTCCAGAATTTCCCCCCTGTAATTACTGCTCTTTTTTCAGTTTGGAAAAATTCATCCAGCTCTGTGTGCCTTCCCCCTCCTTACTTTTAGATCAATGTGGTTTGTCTATTTTTTTTCTTTTCCCCTTTCCAAAGTAAAATTACCACCATTTCGTGCTATTATAAAAGCCAGTCATACAAAATTGGGCGAGAAGATTATGGTCCATAGTTAACCATCCAGTGGTAAAGATTTGTTTAGTTTCACTTCTTAGCCCTTTTCTAAATGCTGTGAGGGATTTTTCTTGTTGGAATAGTGTGGTTTATTTTATGGTGTCGGGAACAGGACCATAAGGATAACATTTTTGCTTTCATACTGTGGTCCAATGTGTGTGTACCCACCGAGGGATTTCTCATATTGCTAATTTCTGATTCTGGATACTGATTTTCTGCTTTGGATTGTCATAGATTTGACAAATATTTAATTTTCTTTACATGCCTCAGATTTAAACTGAACACTGCTAGTACCTGTGTGTGTAGTGCTGTTAATTATGGAGGGACCCAAAGCATCCTCAAAAATCTGCAAAAGAAAGAGTAAAAATGAGACTCAAATGCAGGGATCGCATGACTGCCATCCCTCACCTGCGTGAGGAGGGAGCAGCTGCTCTGGGATGTGCACCGCTCTCTGCAGGCTTAAAGGGCAAAGTTTTAGTCTTGCTAAAGCTTCTTCTAAGAAGTGCTTCATCACTGCACTCCTCCTCAGCCATGAGGTCCATAAATCCAACTCCGGGCTCAGGTGATTCTGTGAGGATGTTGTGTGCAGGAGTTGTTTTTATTTCTTGATTTTAATGTTTTCTGATGTTTTGGTTGGGGCTTCTTGAAGGTCACAGACTTGCATCAGAGATGAGCAGGACGGTCTGTGTGGGCCTCTGTCCTTTCCTCACTGAGGAAAGGGCACAAACTCCTCACTGAGGGCTGTGGGCACAAACTGGAGCACAGGAAGCTCCATACGAACATGAAGAAAAACCTTTGTACTTTAACGGTGGCAGAGCCCTGGGAAGAAGTTATCCAGAGAGCTGGTGGAATCTCCTCCTGTGGACGTACTCAGAACACACCTGAACACTTTCCTGAGTAACCCGAGCCTAGAGCAGGAGGACAGATGACCTCCAGAGGTCCCTTCCAATCCCTGTGGTTCTGTGATTCCGTGATCTTTCATGGCTTATGGTACAGAAGCCTTTCTAGTGAGCCTTGAGCTGTTAGGTGCTTCACTGGCCTTAATGAGTATCAGGAGCTCAGGGTTGTGATGGCAGAAGTGCTGCCATGTAGCATGGGAGCCTGTGTCCTGATTGTAGGGTTGCGTCTGAGAGTGAATTTGGGGCAGGACCTGCTGCTCCCCCAGCACTCCTCACCCCTCCAACCTCTGCCACCTCTGGATTTTTGCTCCTCCGTGATTCTCTCACCAGGTTCTTCTCAGTGATGCCCTGTGTCAGGATGGAACACCAGAGAGGCTACGGAATCTCCTCCTTGGAGACCTTCACAAGCCACCTGGACATGGTGCAGGGCACCTGCGCTGGGCGTCCCTGTGGGAGCAGGGCTGGGACAGATAGACCCTGAGTCCTTGCCATGGAGCTAATGGAGAGCATCCAGAGAAAGGCTGTAGAGATGAGCAAGGGTCTGGAGAGCATGGACTGCCAGGGTTTGGTCGGAGGAGAGGAGGCTGAGAGGAGGCCTCGTGGCCTGCAGCTCTCATGGCCGGTGCTTCCTGCTGTGCGGAGGCTGGATGGCTGCTGGCATCCACTGTCAGCAATGGCCGCTCCATTTCAAAGCACAGCATTCCTACACAGAGCCAAGAGATGCACCTCTGCTGTGTGGCCAAGAAAACGTGTTTAACAGAGTAGTAAGATGTGTGGGATTCCGTGTAGAAGTGAGTCCTATTTTAATTTTCCCTTCACGTGAGCTTGTCTCGTGCAAGATCGGTTTGTTTTATCAACTTGGAAAAGTGCCTGCAACAGGATTTTGTAAGAATTGATTTCCTGCGAGTTTCCTGTGAAATTGGAAACCTGCAGAAATGGGTGGATTTCTGAAATTCTATTGTGTGGGTTTTCTCCTTTTTTTTTCCCCGAGTAAAAAAAGAACCGTGCCCTCCTCCCCCCGAGCTCTCATTCCGCATACATTTATTCCTTAAAAATATTTCCAGCTGTTTCTTTTTCTGGGAAACTCATACCATCTGTAAACAAGTGCCTGATTCAGATAATTCTGTTATTTTGCCTGGTCACTCTTATTTTCCAGCTTTTAATAATGCGAGAGTTGAGGAGCAATCAGTAATGGTTTTTCTCCTCTTCACCCTCAATTTGATTATTTTTCTCATAAAGAGTGGAGTAAGGAGAGCGCCGAGCAACAGGAGATGGGAAAAATATTTTGATTACTTTTCGGTTGCTTATAATCAAGGAGTAACTCTTCTAATCCAGGCCAATTTGCCGCATTGATTTAATTCATAATTTTAATTTCATGACTTTTCTGAAAAAAATAAAAACAAAAATATAAAGAATAAAAAAACTGAAACCACCCAAACCGCAGAAGACAAAACCAGCAGCTCAGCGAGGTGCGTCGGGTTGAAGCTTTTTAATACTTGTTTGAACAGTTGTAGTTTTAGGTTAAAATTTATTTAATGTTCCCTTTCTTCTGTCTACTTCTGCCAGAATATTCTACTTGAATTTCCCTGTGCTGCCACAAGAGAAAAATTGAAATTCAAAGCACAGATTCTGCCAGTGCTTTCAGCGAGTTCATAAAATTACTCATATGAATATTCCCTTGACTCAAAGGCAACTGCTTGCAGTCCTTAAACCTGTCTGGGACTACCTGAAGTATTGGGAGCCCAAACAAATGGTAGGTGATGAGGAAATCCTGGGTGCTTCAAAGGCTTTTTTTTTTTTTTTTTGGTTCAGTTTTGAAGCAAAAAGCTCTGGATTTGCTGAGTGCGTGGCCGAGCTGGTGGCACTATTTGTTTTTTCCCCCTTGATACCAATAAGCTGACATGAAATGGGGAGGATGGTTCTCGATCGGTGCTATGGCTGTAACTGGGAGAAGTGTGGAGATGTGCCAGAAGCGTCCCGCTGCTGGCTTCGGTGTCAGCTCAGCTCTCCTGGTGAAGAGCTGGCAGATCTGCGCCTTTCCCAGCAGGGATTGCAGCTCTCCAGCATGAAGCTTTTTAGGACTTGCGCTTATGAGTTGCTGAGAGCTCCGGAAGCGGGTGGCTGCAGGTGGAGTACCCACATTGTTAAATTAAGCTTGTAGAATGGAAAGGGAACGATAAGCAAGGAGTAAAGACAGCGAAATGTCATGCACGTAGTCTCTAGATTGTGATAACTTTGTTTGTTTGTTTGTTTTTTTGCCTGCTTACAGTTTTCCCTCCCAAGCTCCAATTTTCTGTTCCCAACATAAGAATTTGTGGAAAAGTTTGAGCAAACCCAGTTCAACTGTTTTCAAGACCAAACAATATTACAAATAATAATAGTAACAATTAAAATAAAACTAGATCTTCCAATTGAAATTGGCATAGAGAGAGTCCCTGGGTTCAGGAAGTAGAACTGAAACTGAGTGTAGAACGCTTCGTTCCCCTTTCAGCTTTTCCAGTGGAATCCTGTGCTCACACCTGAGCTGTGGGCTGCCCTGTGCAGCTGGGCTCCAGCCCCCATCACCAGCAGTTTGGGAAGCGCTGCACGGTTTCGTGGCAGCTGAGGACCTGCAGGAAGCAGGGTACTTCCCAGGTGTACAAATGTTGTGATACATCATCAGCCTCTCATTCCCCCTGCTAATGCAGGGATGGGCACCCTATGTGTGCGACCTGGTGAGCACCTTTGGCTTCTCCTTTGCGTCTCCGTGGGGACTGGAGCATCACCTCTGTATCTGAGGTGGATCCTGGAGTGGGTCCTGGCTCTGCTCTTGGCTGTTCTCACACATCACTGCTGGGAACCACAACCCATGGCTGCCCGATGACACCGATGGGCTGTGCCTTAACATTTTCTTTGCCTTTTGCTTTCTCTGGGACATTGGCCACCATCAGGAAGCTAACATTAGGTGATGCTGTTTTGAAATTGCTCATTAACAGCTTATTTCTTTTTACAATGAGAACGAGTCCAGAAGAGACCACTAAGATGGTCAGAGGGCTGGAGCACCTCTCCTATGAGGAAACGTTGAGGGAACTGGGCTTGTTTAGCTTGGAGAAGAGGAGGCTGCAGGGAGACCTCATAGTGGCCTTCCAGAACTTGAAGGGAGCAGATAAACAGGAGGGGGAATGGTTGTTTGTGAGGGTGGATGGTGATGGGACAAGGGGGAATGGCCTTAAACTGAGACAGGGGAGGTTTAGGTTGGATATTAGCAGGAAGTTTTTCCCTCAGAGGGTGGTGAGGCACTGGCACAGGTTGCCCAAGGAGGCTGTGGATGCCCCATCCCTGCAGGCATTCAAGGCCAGGCTGGATGTGGCTCTGGGCAGCCTGGGCTGCTGGTTGGTGACCTGCACACAGCAGGGGTTTGGAGCTGGATGAGCACTGTGCTCCTTTGCAACCCAGGCCATTCTAGGATTCTGTGATTCTATGAGCACCAGATTCCAGCAGGTATGAGCCGTCCGTGTAGATGTGGTGCACGAATGAGGCAGCTGTTCAATGAATCTCCTGAATTACCCCCGGCTAAACAGGCACCAGGCATGCAGGTGTGGTGGCCAGGTGAGGACAGGCAGGCTAGCAATGGACTCATGTGCAGTCACAGCGAGGACCCTCAGGTGCCATCACCACATTTAGAGTCACTGTTACAGTTTGTGCTGAATGGTCTTTGGAAACTGAAATGTTGAGATGAATCTGAGTAAGCTGGGTTTAAATAACATGAATGGCAGATGTGGATGTACACCGTTGGTTCTGCATCCTCTTGCAGTGGGTGAGCAGCGTACAGCCTGAAGGAGGTGTCAGTGAGGGTGCTGGAATGGACACCAGAGGGTGGACCTGTCCCGGTTGGGTTTTCCCCCTTGCCACAAGAGGAAGAAGCAGCTTCTTCCTCTACGTGCTCTGCTTTTATGCTATGCCCGAGGAAAAGAAATGCCCCTGGATGCTCACCTCTGATTTTGGAACTGCTCTGTGTCAAAGCAGACCCCATGTGTGCTCAGCTCTACCAGGGGCCGGTGCTCCCTGCCCTCATGGAGGAGGTGCTTGATGGAGCTCAGATTTCCTCCTTTCTGAATCTTTTTTTATTGTTTTGGTTATTTCTTGAGCTGCAGCTGAGGAAATAGGGAGTGCATTCCTCTTTCTGATGGGCTTATTTGTTCCCTCATGGAAAAAACAGTGCTGTCTGATGCTGGTGCTGCCCCTATGGATGTGCTAAGGAGAAGAGCAAGGATGGGATAAGCCAAAGCTTTCCAAAGCATCAAAGACCGTTTTGCCTCGTTTAGGCGATGCTTTGCCTCTGGGAAGCGCACAGGCATGGCTGCTCAGCTCTCCCACCTGCTCAGTGATGCCCTTTGCCTTTAATTAAATCTGGGGGAGATCACAGGGCTTGGGAGAGCTGAGAAGAGCAAGGTGGGTGATGTTGGGTCTGTGTTGCCACTCAAAGTTCAGGACTTGAGCTTTTCCTTAGCATCCCATCATGACAGCAGGAACCAAGGCTGCAGGTGTATTGCTTGGTCCATTGTGGTGTGGATGTTTTGGTGCAATGTGGGGTTCCTTCTCCCTGTTTTTTCCTTTTTTCTCTTTAATGAAAGTTAAACAGAAGACTGCCAGCATCTTAACCTTTGTTTATTGAAAAAAAAAAAAAAAGAAAAAAACCAAACCACTTCCTGCACGTTGTGTTGCTCTGAAGTTAATAATCACAGGCAGCGCAGGTAGGCAGGCCGGCAGATATTTTTATGGCACATTCCTTTGCAAGACCTGTTTTCAGTTGGTTATTCTGGTGCCAAATTTTAATTATTTGGAGTGAAATTTTCCATGCTGAGTGTGTGCTCCTGGCTCCTTCCTGACCTGTGCGTGTGCTCTGTGTTCCGCCAGAAAGGACTCAGCTCTCTTTTGCAATGCACTCAGATCCTTTTTTGTCTTCTTTTCCCCTTTTTCTTCCCCTCAGGTAAAACAAACAATTCCACCCTTTTACAAACAATCTGTGGGTTTAAGCTCTCCTTACCGCCACTTTGGGAGAGGCTGCGGAAGGACCTCATAAGTTTCGGTAAAAACACAGAATTGTTACCATGGGTGGGAGCAATTAATTCATAGATGCATTAATTAACAGAGGTGGGATCCAGCGTGGCACAGGTCTGGGTGTCACAAACCCTCGCTTACATCAGCCCATGTTTTGGGCGTGAGTTGTGTAACCATAATTGGAAGCTGGTGCTTCAGTCTTCCAAAATCTCATTTCGCATCTTAATGCTTTTTAGTTATGTTGTTGCTTCTCAGTAACTGTTAATTTTATTTTCAATTTTCCCCACATAGTGTAGCCCTTTCTCTAAACACACGTTTCTGGGTCAGCTGTGCATCTGCTCGAGCTCCTAATTTTTGACACTTTCTCCTGTTAGGAGATGCTGACTGATACATTTCTTATTTATCTCATGGTTCACTTTCTGCTTGTGTCAGGGAACATATGGTCAGAAAACACATTCTGGTTTTGTGCATTTTAATTTAATAGCTATTTATCTGTGTTAGTTTTGTGTAACTACCCTCGATGTACCAGACACGAAAGCAGCTTTAGGAAGTCGTATTTTGAACTGTAAATTATTTGATGCTGTGTTACCATTACGAGTGGGAGCGTTGTCTCCATTGCAGCTCTCCATGCACCCCATCCTCACAGACTGGCGGGCCGGGACGAGCCCTGCTGCTCTGCTTCCTCAGTTCAAAATGAGGAAATCATTCACATAACCAACTGGGTAAGCTGGAGGGAAGATTTCTCTTTGCCCTTCCTGAAGACATGACTCTGTTGAACACTGCTTGGAGCCGTTTCAGCACGCTCAGGTTGGGGGCGCTTGAATGGTGACGTGCAGCGATGGACGCATTGAGTTCTTTGGATATTTCTAGTCTTTGGATGTGAGTTTTGAGAAGTTAAATGTAATGTTTTGTTTTACGTGGATGAAGAGGGATGTTGGGCTCACAGCAAGCCGTGGGTTGGGCTGCTGAGCCATGGGCGCCTCTGAGCCAACACTGCACCTGCAAATATGGCTGCTTAGGTCTGTGGCCGGGGGCTCCTCTCTGAACCTGATATTTGCTTTGTGATTGATGAGGTTTGGAGCTGCCCAATGGGGTCCTCAGCGTTACGTCACAGTCACCTTGCTGGCAGCATTTTTGTTGGGATAGGCTTATTTAAGCAGCTGTGAACCTTTTGTAGGGCTGTATCTGATTTCCTTCAGCCTTGGCTTGCTCTTTAGGTCTGTTGGATCCATGCTAAAGGGACAGGTGTGGGCTTGCAGCAGCCCCAGATGACCGTGCTGCTATCATCAGTGGGACTTCGAGCATCTTCCCATGTGGGCAGGCTGGGGGCTGCTTTTCTTCTCCTTAGGAGCTTATAAACAGGAGATGGATTTTTGGTGTGGGCAAGTGGTGATAGGACAAGGGGGAATAGCTTTGAACTGAAAGAGAGGGGATTTAGGTTAGGTGTGAGGGGGAAATCCTTTCATCAGAAGCCCCAGCACCGTGCCCAGAGCTGTGGGTGCCCATCCCTGGAGGTGCCCCAAGCCACAGATGGGCCCAGGGCAGCCTGAGCTGGGGGGCAGCCAGCCCATGGCAGGGGTGGGGATGGGGGCTGTGAGGGCCCTTCAACCCAACTGTGCTGTGATTCTATGCTAAAGCATCTTGTCTGGTTGGAAGCCATCTTATATGTGTCCAGCCTGCTAATTCTATGCTTTTGTTGCCCTCTTTCTCATATATTTTAATTAAAAAAAAAAAAAAGTTTTGTTACTTATATTCATTAACTATATTATATGTTTTATATGAGGCCTAAGACAATTCCTCTTCACTCAGGGTTGTCCCAGGCAAGCTAACAGGTTGTACCCCCATGGATTCTGTGCTGAGAGCTCCCATCTCCTGTGGTTTCTCTTTTCTCTTTGGAAGCAGAGAAGTCCCTCACACCATCAAACCTCTCTTTGTGTGCTCCTCACACACCTCTCACCCTTAGCACTGATATTTGTAGCATCATGAGAGAAGGGAGTCCCAGGAATTGCTGAGTAAAAGAGGTCAAAAAGCAAAAAAACCTGTCATTAGAAATGGCATTTCCCAATAGATCTTCCCCAAATAGCACTTCCTAAGCCAAAACCTTTCCCTGAGGGTGGCAGCACTGGATGCCAGCAGGTGATGGGCCTGCTGTGTGTGTGGGTCCCATGGGGACGGTGGGGGCCCATTGGGCCCGTGCTGTGGCAGCTGTGGGGCTGCGCTGCCCTCCCAGATGTGGGGCCCTGCGGTGCCATCATGGCTGGGTTTTGCAGAAGTCTGAAGGGATGGGCACTGGTGTCCCCAAATCTCAGTGGGATTTTGGATGATGCCGACCCCTCAGCACCCCACGGGGCTTCTGCCCTGCCTTTGTACCAAGTCTCCTTTTCATCTTTTCATTTTTTTTTCTTTTTTATCTTTTTTTCTTCTTTTTTGTACACACAGATCTAATCTTCTAGAAAATGCCCCGAAGGTTTGAGCAATCTACCAGTTGCAGGAACCCATAAAGCTTTTTTTCTTTTTCTTTTTCTTTTTTTTTTTTTTTTTTTCCATTGTGTAAGCATGACAAATCATTAATTTTTGATTGATTGCTTTGAATTATGGGTGCTCTGACATCCTTTCTGTAGCCGAACAGCTGTATAACAAATGAACATATCAGCGCTCACAAAAGATTGGAGATCTAACAGAAGCAATTACATTGTCAGCTCCTCCCTTCTGGCTTTTCCCAGGCAATGGAGGGAGGAAATTTTTTAACAGAAATTCCTCAAGTGGCTAACAATAATAATAAAAAAAAATAACTTTTTGTAATTCAATTAGATTTTTATCTCTTCATTTCCAGTGGATTTCGGAAGCGTTGGAAGCCAGGATGCCTTTCTGCTCTCTGTGATGCAGGGAATCCCTCTGAACAAAATTTCACACGAAGAATTAAAAAATAAGAAAAAATGAAATTGTAATTTTCGGCTGCTACTCCTTTAAGATTTCAGAATTGCACCACTGCACTAAATGTGACCTCCATAACTTTTAAATTAAGAATTTATGCTGGCTTGAAATTTATGAAATATTTCAGCATGAAAGAAAGCCTTTTTCCCTCAGGAAAATTGAGCAATAAATCACAGCACTCTCGATTTACTGCCCTACAGCCAGCCAAAGATAGGATTTTTTTTCCTTCCCCCCTTCGTTCTGAAAAAAAAATGTAATCATATAAGACAGCTTAGCTGCTATCCTCCCACTCTCTAGAATTTTTAATTTCAGCTGTTTCTGCTTGGATTTATTTCCAATATTCCTGCTCGGCTTTTCAATTTCCTCAGTTATTAAATTTTAATTCAGTGCATTAGCATTTAAATTAAAAAAGGGTTTATTTTATCGAAATCGTTGGCTAGCCCCCATCCTGCTGCACATGAATTGCCTGTTTCTGCCATTTGCACAAAATGTGAAATGCAGCTAATATCTTTTAACTTATATTTGCACAAATTCAGAAATAAAATTTCTGGGTTTGGAATAATATTGTCTTTCCAAGGAAGGCTCTAATCAGAGAGCCGGGGAACGGAGGCAGGGAGGAGGCGGCGCCGTGTCCGTCCCTTGCCGTGAGCAGGGATGGGATGGGGCACCCGTGGGAGCAGCGCGGGCCGGGCCGGCTGTGTGTGGGACAGGGATGTCAGGGCTGTGCGCCCCAGAGCCCCTCGTCAGGAGGAGAGAGGCTTGGAGCTGTGGTTCGGGATGAGGAGGGGTGGAATTGAGGAGGTTGGGTTGACGTGGGTTGGGATGACGCCTGGCGTCCCCACTGCCCGATCCAGTCTGGCGCAGCGATTGCAAGGCACTGTGGTGGTTTTTTTGGTGTGAATTTAGGCCGTCTGAGCGTGGATGCATTGAGTTTGGATATTTCCTTTCTGTAAGTTGGATGTTTCGGCCTTATTTTCCTCTTGATTCATTGCTTCAAACTTTGTGGGGCTGCGGCAGGACGCGGTAAAATGGTTGCAAGAGCAATATCTCCAGTGTTTGCTGCTGGTTGAGTGTTTTTGGAGGAGAAAAATAAAATCACCTCCTTGGTGAGCTGTGTCTGAAGTCCTGCCTTGGTCTGCTGAAAGCTGTGGGCTTGGGCTGAAGTGTGTGGAACATTCTGCCAAAATTGAGCACTGAGGATTTGTGCAACTCAGGGTGGTTTCGGTGCAAGGTGCACCAGAAGAATTAGAGGACAGCGTTGTATTCTTAACCTAAACCGCCTTTTTTAATGTCTTCTGTCTTTCAGGCTGAAGAAAGCAACAGCAGCGGGAGGAGGAGCTCTTCTAGCAGGTATGGAACAGATTTCCCTCCTTTGTGGGGATGTGGTGTTCAGCTTTGCTCAGCTGCATTCCCCCTCTTGGAGGTGGATGGCAAAGAGCGACTGCATGAGGAGGATGAGCTGGGAGCTGTTGGGAGGGCAGTGACTGCACACCACATGTATAGTTTGCTGGAGGTGGATGTGAGGGAGATAATTCTAGCTATGGGAACTGTGGATAATTCTGGCTATGGGAACTGTGAGGAGAAGTGCCTGTGCAGTGCACGTGTCTCTGTGTCTCCCCATGGATGAGCATGCTGTGGTGAAAGACCAGCTCTGGTTGTGGCTCTTCCATGATTCATATGCAGCATAGCAAATTCCTAGCCTGTGTTCCAAAGGTTCTGTGGTAAAAACAGGTGGAGATGTAGGAGCTGAGTGATGCAAGGGTTTAAGTGGTGACAACATTGAAGTTGTATTGGAGGAAAGCACATGGCATGGCAAGGGGAGTGGGCTGCAGTGAATGGGAGTTGGAGAACAAGAGTTGGAGAATCATAGAATGGATGAGGTTGGAAAAGAGCTCTAAGATCATTTAGTTCAATGGCCAATCCACCCCCAACGTGCCCACTGCCACAAGTGCCACATCTCCACAGTTCTTGAACACCCCCAGGGACGGTGACTCCACCACTCCTTGGGCAGCTTGTGCCAATGCCCAAACACCCTTCTGGAGAAGAAAATTTTCCTAAAGTCCAGTCTGAAGCTCCCCTGCCTCAGTGTGAGGGCATCATCTCGTCCCATCGCTGTTACCTGGGAGCAGAGGCTGACCCCGCCTCACACAGCCTCCTGTCAGCAGCAGCACAGCACTGCCATCTCCCCTGAGCTCCCCTTCCCCACGCTGACCCATCCCAGCTCCCTCAGCCGCTCCCCATCACACCTGTGCTCCAGACCCCTCACAGCTCCATCCCATCTCTGGACACGCTGCAGGGCCTCCGTGTCTGCAGTGCAGTGAGGGCCCAGCACCGAGCACAGCACTGAGCTGCGGCCCCACCACTGCCGTGCAGAGGGACGATGCCCTCCTGCTCCTGCTGGCTGCACTGCAGCTGACCCAAGGCAGGCTGCCGTGGGCCTTCTTGGCCACCTGGGCACACTGCTGCTCATCTGCTGCCGGCTGTCAGCTCACACCCACAGAGCCTTTTCCTCCGTGCAGCTTGCCAGCCGCTCTGCCCCTGCACTTCGTGAGCCATGCTGGCTGAGCCTGATCCCCTGGTTGGTGACAGGGAAGAAGGTGATGGCAGGGATGGCAGGGAGGTGCCATCACAGGGTGGGGTGAACCATGGAGCACCCAAAGCACATTTGTGGGTCACATTGTTGCCTATGGCAGATGATAAGCAACAGAAAACAGCAGTGAGTTTGTCTGTTGTGGGCAACGCTTGCATGGTGCCAGGTTTTGCCCCGACCTGGTGCCACCTCCACCTGCTGTCACTGCCTGGCTATGGGCACCTCTGGGGCACCCAGTGGATGGGGCTCCATGGGGTGGATTTTGGTAGTGCCAGCACCCTTCTTATGCAGAGGAAAATTGAGGTTTTCCCAGTTTTGGGAGGCTCATTAGAGAGAACCACTGGTGCTTGCACTCAGGATGGCTTGAACAAAGCGCTGGAAGGAAAACCACTTCAGCATCTTCCTACTGAACAAAAGATGGTCACAAAAAGCAAAATAGCAAAATCTGTTCAAATTTAATGGGAAGCTCTGCCAGTGGCTGAACATTGAAATTTGGTTTTGATGGCATCAAACCGTTAGGGCTGGCAATAGAAGGTGGTTGTTTTTCAAAGTTATTCCTGCTTGAATGTGTCTCATTAATTGCAAGCTATCATGTAAGCTTTTAACTGTTAAGTTATATCAGGAAGATGTGTAAGCAAAATAAGGTTTCCAGGGCATCTTTACCCTTTTCTTCTGTTGGTATTTTTTTACTAGCTGTTTAGTAGCTCCATCTTAATGTGGTGACCACAGTATTGGGTTGCTCCTATTTTTATTTATTTATCACAGCGAATTGATTTTATTCTGTTTCAAGTAAATGTTAAAAGCTCTGAAGGCACAGGATTTTTCTGATCTTATCACCTCTGCAGCTCTGATCGGGCCCGGCTGCTGCCTTTGAAATAACACTGGTTCAGCATGCAGCTGTTTTCAGCTGAGAATTGGTGGTGGCAGAAAGAACTGTGTTTCCTACCTTATTAAATGGTGTGTGGATCCTGTACCTCACTGTGTGCTTATTAATGGGATATTGTGAAAAACAAGGAGAATTATTAGGAGCATAGAAAAAAATTCTTCTTTTAAGGGAGTGAAAGGAGACATGACTGTTTGCCTTGGAGAAGATGACAACTAAAAGACAACATGACAAAGCTTCTCGCTCCGGAGAAGGTAGATCACAGACTTTCTCCTTTTGCAAGCAAAGAGTCAGTCAACAGAATTAAAAGGTGGGAGATTGAAAGCCAGTAACAAGAAAGGTTGTTGTTTTTTTTTTGCTTGTGTGATGGGCAACTGGAGCTGTGGGAGCATAGAGCCAAAAGCCGAGCAGAGGGGCTCAGAAGGAACCCAACTGGACGATGCCATCTGTATGTGGTGTGGACTCTATTGGAGCAGGGCCGTTTCCTGGGGCTCAGGTATCCCTCTGCTGTCTCTGGAAAATTCCCAGAGCCTTGAAGCCCCATCTGTACGAGGTGGAGCAGTTTGAGCCCCGCGTGCCATCGCTGGGGCTCCCAGGAAGGCAGGCAGCGTGGAGCAGCGCTGGGGAGGCAGACCTGGGGGTAATTGCTGGGAATCTCCGTCACACCAGTGTGAAACAAACTACTTACCAGTAATTAATGTCAGCGTTCAGATGGTGGGCTCTGGGTCTTGACAAGAAATAATTGAAAAACCAAATGTGCAATTATGTCTGACAAGCAGCGCGTGCTTTTCTTGGTCACCAGAGCCTTGTGTAGTCATGTGTTAGACACGTTTTATATAATTATTACTGTTTATATGGTGGGTGTCAGAGGAAGGAAGAATTTTAGTTTCACGTCCTCTGTTGGCTATTTATTTTAAAGTCATTAGATTTGTTTTCAGACTTAACTACACTTAATGTGCGAGACTCCTGCTGAATAAATCAGACCCTGGTATTGGAATTGCATCTGTTTGCGGAGGGAATGGAGCCAACTGGAAGCTCAGCCCCCATCTGCACAAGGGCTGTCACCAGCCAGGAGCCCGCTTGCAGAGCAGATGTAGCTGTGCTCCATGCCCAAAGCAGGGGTGAATCCCAGAGCTGCTGGGGCTGCGAGCTGGCTGTGAGGGTGTGGATGGTCTGGACTTTACTGCGCTGTTATGGGGGTTGCAGAGAGAATGGGAGCTTTCTTGGAGGCGGAGTTCCCAGCAGCCCCTCAGGCTGGGGCATGGGCATCTCCCAGCTCTCATACAGCACAGTTTTCCTCTGTGCACCAGCCCAGGCCGTGTTGCTCAGGACGTCTGGCAGTTTTGTCTTTAGCGACATGGTGCTGTCAGGAGAGGCTGTGTTTTGGTAGACCAAGACAGCCGGGAAAATGATGTATGCTGCTTTGTCTGCCGTACCCAGATTTCAGCAGTTCTTTCATTCATGATATCTCTTCGAAAAAAGATATAATTTCAATAAGGTGAGTGAAGAAAAAACTATTTCAGTAACAAATTTCCAACTGGAGGAGAACATACCCAGAAATGGTCGCATATGCTTTGCTCCTCAGTTGCTCCTTTGCCTGAATGGTGGCATCTTTCCTCCTTCCCTTTGCTCGTTCTGTACTTTGCAGGCACATCATCCTTAGTGGCTGTGTTACCCTCAGCCTCTTGCAAAGGGATGCATGTGAGTGTTTCTGAGAAGGAAAGCTGTATAAACGGTTTCCCTTTTATTTAAAAGACCACCTGGGAGATTTTCAGCCTCAGAGCATGAAGAGTTTAAGACACCCTACATTAGAAAGAGAGGAGTATTAATAATTAGGCAGGCTATTTAATAGCCTTGGTGCTCTCAGGATTCTCACCAGCCATCTTCAGGAAGGAACAAACAGAGCAACAAACAAAGCAGCTAGCTGATAGAAGAGGAGCAAACAGTTCAATTCTGTGCCGAGATGTGGACAAAAACCGTGAGAAACCCATGAAGGTTTCCTTGAAACCCAAAAGGAGGTCGGAGTGCCGTAGATGCGCATGTGAAGGGAGAGGCGGCAGCACACAGATGCATCCCAGCTCCCGGGGGACCAACTTATTTTCTGCCATACTGCTAAGCGTCAGAGCCCAGGAGAGCTTCTGGAGACGTGAGGCAGAGGGGGCTTCCTTCTGTGAAGCACTGAGCAGAACTAACAGTAATGCCTTCAGCAAAGCAGGGTTACCAGGACTTGGTTTTCCTTCGGCCATCCGCTCTCCTGGGCAGATCGGGGCTGTCCTGCTGTGGCCTGCAGTCTGCTATTTGAACACGCGCCCATCTCCAGCAGCAGGACATCTGCCGCCTCATCTTAGCCGCTCTCCAGCTGAGGAGTTCTCCCAGTCCTGAGGTCCTGCTGCTGTTCTCTCCCATGTGCTGGTTGTGTCCCGCTCCTCACACTGTGCCAGTGCTGCCTGTGGCTTCGTGGCTGGCGCTGGGGTGGGCTGCACCGTGCCGGGACCTCTGGGGCTTTGCAGGCCTCAGTCGTTTCTGAGCAAGCAACACAGAGCTCTTTCAGTGAATAAATCCTTTACTCTGTTTTTCCCTGAATTTTTTTGTCTCTGTTGACATTACCGTGCTGAACGTTTAAAGAAGCTGGCAGCTATTCTATTATCATCTTAAATTTAGTTTTTAACCTGCATCATTTGTATGTCACACTTCTTATCAGACTGAATTCTTTTGCTTTTGGCGAGCGCTGGGCGTTTGTTTTTTGTTAGATAAGCCATCTTTTCTTTAATTTGGTTCGACTTTCCTCTTCAAACCACCCTCATGATACTCCTAATAAGGACTTAAGGGAATTTGTTTTGCTAATAGCTGAGGAATTCTTTCCGACTCTTCTCTGTT